AGAGTGAGTTAACAGGTAAAGCTAGACCAAGGGAGGTGTGGAACACAATCTGTGTAATAAAGCTTACAGAAAAAGTGGGAACTGTTCAAGAACAGTGCCAGTTTGCTGTGGTTAAACAATCTGCCTGGAAAATAATGAGCTGTAGAACTTTTAATTTACAAATAAATTTGTTCATTCAATGTTTTCAATGAGCTGACGTCATAATGTGCATTGGACAAAGTCAGCAAAATCTGATGTGTTCTTTTAAGTAGGGCTGCAAAAGAATAAGGAATTAAATTGGGCAGAACTTATTCAAGGCAGCTGTTAAAATGCAAATCCTTCCAGAGTACCCTGGGACATCCAGCAGGTGTGACAGGAGGGCAGCTTGGCTGTCAGGGAACTACTCTCTAGGCTCAGATACAAAGAGGGAGAGCATGAAAAGTGGGTCTGGGAGTGGGTACCCAACAATAATGTGGGCAACTTTCTCAGGTTGTACAGGGATGGAACTGAAAAAGCTACAGTTTAGCTTCAGTCAAGCTTTGAAAGGACATGCGATACAACCAGTGTTTGTGCCAAGAAAAGGTAGAGCAAGGATGATGTGTGGGAGGATAGTGGAAGTCTTAAGTTCAAGAGTAACTAATTTTGACAGTACTCACTTAAGAAATTAGTCAGAACAGATCTTTTCAAGGACTGAATTGGTCCATTACAGAAAGTGGATGATAGGTACATTCAGAGGATGCTATAGTGAACTCTTCTATTAGTTATTAGTATTTTTAAAAACAGAAAATTCCTGAAAGAGTTTAGAGCTGAGCTTCAAGTGTTGAGAATTGTCACCTGATAAGATTGCTGATACCCAAGTTCAAAATATTCAGTATGATGTCTTTGGCCAATACTACTCAAAACCACAGTAATTGCAGAAAACTTCACATAGAGATAACTTTTCTTGAATCTTTGCTTCCTGTGCTCCTTTCTGCCTTAACTTTACAAGACTTGAGAGACCATTTTGTCTCATTCTGCTGGCATAATTAGCCATGCCTTCACCAGAGCTGTCTTATTTATGAGAGAGGCCTCAAATCTTGACTTTATGCTTAGATTTTTTTTTTATCATATGAAGATGTGAATTGGCATTTGGAGCTTGTTGCTATAGCTGTAATATATCATTTCTTTACTAATGTGAATCCTGAAAATTTCTAGTGCATAGTCAATTGCTTTTTAGATGTCACCATATAGAGAAGCTGCATTTCCTATGCAAAATGTGTGATCTATAGTGGCTTGGCAGTCTGTCAAAACTGAGAAGCCAACTGCCCATCTAAGTCCCATCTCTCCCTGGCTTAGGTGAACAGAATACTTCAAGTGGAAAAGCAAGAGAATCCAACTTGAAATGCTCATCCAGTGGAAAAAATAATCAGCGCCCACAGGGCTGTACATCCTTAAGCTTTAAAGGAGGGCAGCAGGTTTTTAGTCTGACAGCCTTACCTAAAATGTTAAGCAAAGTGTCTAGCAAAGTGAATGGTTTATTTTTGCAGCTGTGGTAACTCCTCTTTGGCACCTGTGTACTACCAGTTTGGATCATGAGGGTTCAAGCAATTTTCTGACTTGCTCATTTTATGGGTGATTTTATGTGAAACTTATGTCTTGGAGACTTAAGCACATAAATGGCAACTGATGTAGATAAACATTGGAACTTCTAATAAAATTTCAGTTGAAGATATAGAGTCGATATTTTCATGTCTAAAGGTGCTTGCTCTTTGCAAAAGCAGACCTGTAAGGATATTCTTGTGAGTTTTAATCTTTAGTCTGGTTAATTTGTGTTAGAGGTAAGGTTATGGGGGTTTTTAGTTGACCTATAAAATTTCCACTGTAACTGTTTGAGTCTTCCAGCATATGGAACTCCCTCTGAAGAGGAATTAATTTGTTTCCATGGATAGTGATAGAGCTCTAGACCAGTGGTCTCCAAACCCCTTTAATCACACAACCCTATCACTTAAAAAAATTAAATTTGAGCATGCCTTATCAATAGCTGTATATTTATTCATAAATCTTACATACGTGTACTACTGTACTATATTATGTACATTCATTTCCTTTTTTGGCTGTTTTATGAGGATTAAATAAACACTGTTTTTACACTTTAACAGTGCAAAAAAAATATGCAAAAAACTCTTCTCACAGCCCAGTAGATTGTCCTGCACACCTCTCCTAGTTTTCACAGCACACTTTGGAGACCACTGCTCTTGCTATGGGGAGATGCCCCAGGCAATATAAATAAGTCTAAAAGCCAGAGGGAAATTATATGTGAAGAGTACTGCAAGTTTTCTGATGTACATGTTGGAGACTGCATTTAAAGCATATGCTTGTGCCAGGGTTTGATCCCATGGATTCGTCTTCCCTTCCTACTTTTGTCTTGGACTGAAGAAGGAAAGGCCAAATGAAGTTTCACAACATTCAATGATTTGTTTCACAGTGGCTTTTCACACCCGTGAAACAACTGTACATTTTACTTAATTTATTGTGGAATCTAGAATTACTTTTTGGCTTTTATTATTTTTGTAACTTACAGGATATCTTGGTTCTGATAATTTGGACTAAAATTAACTGTTTGACTTTGATGCTTATGTATTTTCTCAGTGCTAGCATTCAAATCCACATAATCTCTGTTTGGGACCTCTTTCTTTGCAGACTTTTTGCAAGGTATTCCCCTATAAACATGCTTTCATCATCTTTAAGGGAAGCTGAGAAAACCCCAGTGTTTGGGTGTTTTTTCATTCCAAAATTTCACTGTCCAGCAGGAGTTTATTCCGCAACCAAATTAGGAGAGAACCAAGGGATCTGAGGTATAGTCTTTAAAAAGAAGAAGAGAAAAAACAAACAAACAAAACAAATACAAAAAAAAGGGGGGGGGGGGAGAGGAACCAAACCACCAGCCCTCTAGTATAAGCTGATGAGCCAAATGATAAAAGCTTAAGGAAGGGGGAATTTTTCTGGAATGTCCTAATCTTAAGATGTGACAATTCTAAATTTCTTTATGATTGTGAACTTTGTGGCTTTACTGTGTGCTGTCCCAGGACTAAGCTCGCTCGTCGTTCTCCCTTACGCCCTTACTTACCATGTCTTAACATGCACCAGGCATTGCAGGAGTTTTTAGAGCTTGATTTAGGGTAGTGATTGCTTGGGTTTTACATGGCAGGCTTCCTAAACTTCCTAAATGCATCCCAATCCTTAATGTATCTGCAAACATCATGTGTTATTTAAATGTCAGCTGTTTTAAAATCAGTGGGAAGAGGCAAGGAGCAAACAATGAGTAGAGCTTAACTGTCTAGATAAGCCAAGTATACATTGCTTCCTCATATGCTTTTCAGCCCAATGTGGCTATTTCTGTGCTGTTAGTGTGCTGCAGTCTGGCTGGTTTGTGGTTTTTTTGTTTGCTACTTTTAGTATTTGGAAGGCAGTTGTTAACATATTCATACCATCGTTTTGTACTGAAAGTCAGCAAAAGAGAAGTTGCATCATGAGACTATTTGCAACAACTTTCCTGGTAAACAGAGTTAGACCTTCAGTTAGTCACATTGGAATTTCATATTATAAGCTATTGTACAGTGTCGGTAGTCCACATAGTTAAAGCTGTGGTGGACTTTGTTTAAGTAGATAAAAGTAGAACTTTTTGCTGGTGTTCCATATACTTCAGAAGCTATAGCCATATTTCAGGGTCAATAACAGCAGTTGGAGAGGTTTTTTTGATTGTGCTACTTGCTGTTACTTCACACTACTTTGAAGCCAGAACCTTCAGCAGTGTGAGAACCAGGTCCTGACCTCTGACAACACAGAAGGTACAGTGTTTTAAACACCTCAAGTTTCACACTGTTGTGTTGCTTTGACTTTCTGCAGGTTCTGAGAAGAAATATTCTATTGATATGAGAGGAGAATGCTAAGGTCGTCTTATTATTTGGCCAATGGTATAAAGCTAGTAATATACAACTTCAGATGCAGGATAAGAGTTCCTTCTGACAATCATCCCTTGCATTCTTAGAAGGGAGGTAATGTCTGGAAGACATGCCAAACCCTCTATTCTGTAAACTTTCTAGAGATTTGGGGCAGAGTAAGGGAACTGCAGGGGCTCTGTAGAGAAGTATAAATTGGTGCTGCAGCTGAAATACTTCTGACTGTTTTTTCTGTGGAGATGTAGGGCTTAAGGTATGATGCTGAAATTAGCTACTCACTAAAATACTAACATTTTGCACATCCAAACAAGACGTTACTTACCACATAGCTTGTCAGTACTTGGTTTCCAGTAACTTCTTGTCATTACTGAAGTGCAGCAAATCAGATTGTCCTTAGTTGCACAACCCAAGGTGAAGAAACAAAGCTGATTAGGCACTCAGTAAATTAAATTTTGTTTACTCCTTCAGAGATATCTCTATCCACTAGTGTGAGTGATATTAGAACACAAGTTCCCGTGTCCTGATTTGGTTGACTCTCTTCAGACTTTTTTGTCGTGTAAAATTGGCAAGTCCTATTTATAAAATAGTTTCATTATTGAGTTTTAAATTTTGTGCTGTATTTCTGTATGCATTCTGTGCTCACTTGGTAGTAATTATGATGCTGACTTATTTCTGGGCATCTGATTTGTCAGGGTGCAAAACTTCAGTATGTATAGAAGCAGGCAAATAACTCAGCAAGATTACTAGGAGCACTTTTGGGGGGAAGGAGGAGCAAAATGAGCCAATGTGAGCATTTTTTTTTTACAAGCTTTAATGATTTATGTATGTATTTTTTTAATCATGTGAGTTATGTAGTGCACTTGGGCACTCAGTACTCTTGAGATGCAGGTTGGGAGGAGGAGCCAAGATTCTCTTACAGTTTTAAATGCACAGATGAGGGAAAAGAAATCAAGCACCTTAATTTTCATTTTTCTTGGGGAATGACTTTAAATATTTGTGTGGAACACTCTTCAACATATTTGAAGGTGAAGTGTTTGTTTCAAAATTTTCTTGGTGTATTGGCTCTAAAATTTTGCTTATAAGATTATTCTTACATTAAAGGGTGAAGATGTCAACCGGACACTTGAAGGTGGGAGGAAGCCTCTTCACTATGCAGCAGATTGTGGACAGCTTGAGATTCTGGAATTTCTGCTATTGAAAGGAGCTGATATTAATGTATGTACATCAGTTTGCAAACAAATGTTAGGGTGTTAAGGTCTTCCACCACCCACACATAAGGGATAGGTATAAATGCCTAAATGGTTACTGGAAGACATAGAACTAAACAATTTGATGGATTTAAAAATATTTGAGAGTTGGTCTAGAGGTTAGAAGCTTAAAATTATATATATTAAATGCTTTTATTCTTTTTGGACACACTAGGAAAAGTTTTTTGTGGCTATACAATATTTAAACTTGACCATTATTAGAAAAACTCAGTAATTACATCTAAATAAAGTTTGCATTAAATACATGTTATATATGTTGGAAGGGACTTCAGAAGACAGTGCAGTGCATCCTTGGCCAGAGCAGGACCAACTCTGCTTCTTTCTTTTTTTGGAGACGTTCTTACTTGTACAAGCTTAGCAGTTTTGTCGTAGCTTGGCATGCATGGGTTTTTGTCATGAAAAGACTTGGCTGGGCTGTGATGGCACTGCAAAACAGTGTAGTTCTCGGTGAAGTAAAGTTGCTTAACTTTAACCATACACCCCAAACACTGTGCTTTACAATACTTGTCTGAAAATTAATGTATAAGGCATCTTAGCTTTTGTCCTTAACAGAATGGCTTTAATTTGTTTTCTTGGTGTCTGGGAAAATTCTCTCTTCCTCATGAGCTCTCCTAACTGAAGAAGAAAAAATAAGAGCATTTCAGTTGCTCAGTTTCTTATTATTTCCAAGAGTAGGGTTTAGAGAGGAGAAGACATACCAAACAGTGTTTCAGCAAAAACTGATTTCTGAAGTCAAGGTGTCTGAGAAATGAGAGAATTGGGAGTAGTGTTTTTGAATTGGCTAAAACTTAGCAGCCGAAACTCTGCAATTTCGACATTGACCTGAAAAACAAGATAAACATTGTTATACCTAGAAGACTTATGGAAGAAATATGTTGCTATTACCTGACGTGTCTTTTAAACACTGACTTTTCATTCTCAAAAAGGGGAGTAAAAAATTTACGCTTCTGGATAATAATCTTAAATCTTTACCTTCACTCTCATGTTAACAAAACAAAATTTAAAAGTTAAGTGAAATCTGTTAATGCTTTGTGAAATTATGATTCAAATAACCCTGTCTCAATTTACAGGCTCCAGACAAACATAATATCACACCACTCCTATCAGCAGTCTATGAGGGCCATGTTTCCTGTGTGAAATTGCTTCTGTCAAAGGTGAGAGACAAATGTTTAGAACAATTTACCCATAGTATATTGCTATGATTTTTTTTTTCATTGAGATTATGATGTTTCAGGTAAGTTCAAAACATCAAACAAATGCTGTTTACGTTGCTAAAGAGAGAGGGTACTCTGATTATGGAGAAAACAGTTGAGGGAGAAAGTTCCAGGGCTTTTACAGTGTAGCAGAATTAATGGTGACCAATAAGAGCATTGTGAGCTCCAACTAGAGAGCAATTAACAACAAATCAGGCCAGATGAAAAATGCATTCCTTCAGCAGAGAGGGAGGAGTGGGATTTAGCTTTGGCAGCTGCTTAAGTATTTCATGTAATAGAATCTCCACTGTGAAGTTGCTCAGAGGTGTGGTTTCCCTCTGCTTTTGCCAGATGACTGAAAAGCCATCTGGATTGGCAGAGCGAGGGGAAGTAGAAGTAGGAAGGCAAGCTTCTCTGTTGTAGAGTTTGTGGATTTTGTTCTGGGCAGAATAAGCTTAGTCTGTTTCTGTTCGTGTTCTCTCTGATTCACATTAAAAGGTGATCCATTTTACAAAGCATTAATTAATTCAAGCGATGTTTTGTCTCCATTCATATGTGGTCCTTCTTATTATACCTCACTTACTGTTGAAAAGGGGAGGTTAAGAGTGCATTTTCAGTATATGAACTCATTTAAATCATTTGGCTGAAGGATTTCATTCTGTAATGTTTTCATCTGTCACTTCCAAGGTAAAGTTTTCATTAACTACCTTAATGCTGCATGAATTTCACTTTTCTTTAATTTCTCTGATCCTGTCTAATGTTATGCCTTTCTGTGAAGGAATGCTTTGACTATTAGTTTAGGATTCAAATAGTGCATCCAATTTGCTTAAAAGTCTTGTGAAAACTGATCCTTCATGTAGCATAATTTTATACCCTTTACAAAAAAGGTATCCTTTATCCCATGTTGTATTTCTTTCCATTTCTGTTTTGAAGTGTTTTGCATTCTAAGTGTGTCAAACAATAAGATGCCTCAAAACTTGAATTCACACATTAATTGTCTGGCAACTAGTAGTAGGGATTGTGCATTCATTGTAGTTCATTAAGATTCTTTCTAAACGAGCTATTTTTCACAAAGCTTGTAAGAGGATGTTGATCTTTGTACTTGGTACAATTTTTTTAATGACATTAAGTTCACCAGTCCATAAAGATGAGACACTCTTAGAAAGATGTGCAAATGTTGTAAGAAGGAAACTTGGACTAGGAGGCGAGGTTAGAAAAATATTGCTTGGTTATGGGTAGTTAGGATAGTCTGGGGAAGTTTTAGCTCTGCATGAAGAAATGTGAAAATATGAATGTTGTACCACATCTGCTGCCATTCACATGGGCTAGTTGATGAAATATTTATGAACTGGAACTTTGCTCATCAGCTCTCTCTGAGGCAGATCTTACATTAAAAGGTTGTTCTCTGACTTAATGCAGTCATCTTATGACCCTTGTTTGAACGTCTGTTGTCCCACCTTGTTTATAACAGTCTGATTTCACATATTCTTTGATAGCAGGTACTTGGGTGATAAGGTGGTTCAACCCTTATTGAAAGTTCTAAAAATTACTGACTTATAACTTTGTTTACTGTTCTTTCTAGTGTCTTTTGGAGTGGTGTGTATTTTATTGTTACTCCAAATGCAGGACAAATTGTATGTCTGGTAGTGTATATAAATAGTGGAAGTGCAAATGCAAATGATAGACCAATATACTTAAGATCTTTCTTCAAAGCTGTTCTTTGTTGCTTTTGTAAATACTACTGTTCTCCTTACTGGCAACAAGCTTCGTTATTTTACATGTACCTACCTTCAGCAGCTTTCATTTACTCTGTTAGTTGATCTCTTGCATATGTGACCTCTGTCATAGACTATCCCTTAAGCTATTGGACTAGAAGTCAGTAACCCCCTTAACCTTTTTTAACAGGAAAACAAAAATAATGAATTTTTTGTACTTTTGTAAGTTTTGAAAATTGATGAACAGTGATGCATATCTCCTTAGTTTGTTTGCATACCACAAATATAAAAAAAGTTACCAGTTTGATCAAGTTAGCATTATATAAGAAATAAGAGATTGTTCCTCTTCACTTGCTAAGATTAGGTATTATATGGATAATTCTATGTTGGATGCAGTTGTTGATTTGGAAATTGAATTTTAAGGTAACGTCCTGTACTGCCTTCTACAGTATATGAATTCAGGGATGTTTGTAAACCTTTCATGTGAGATTCTTGAGCTGTTGAGAAGGGGAGGGGTGTTTCAAGAAATGCTTCAGACATTAATTGGACATAAAATGCAAAAAAGTGCCTACTTAAAAGTAACAAGTATGAAAAAAGTTAGCATAATCAAGGTGACCTCTAGGATTTTTGGTTTTTGTAAACTCTGTTACTGTAGGAAATCTATTAATCTGATGGAAGTAAGCTGGTTACTCTTTTCATATAGTGTGACTGCAGAGCATTCTTTAAACAATTTTCCACTGAAAGCAATAAAAACATTAGAAATATTTGGACATAATTCGCTTTCAGAGGATAATAAATACATATAAATAGTTGAGACACTGAATCAAGACTCTTACCTCTTAAACCTACGAGGCTGACTAGAATGGACACTTAATCTTAAACTGAAGTAGTTTGGGCTGCTAAAAATGTGTTTTTCTGTTGATGCTGGTGATGATACAGTTGCACAGTGAAACACTGCCGTGCTTCTTCTAAGTTCGTGTTAGAAGCAGTTTACGCTCATAAGAACTTAACTTGAAAAGCACTTGGGGACCTATGTTGGCTCTTATTAGTTTGGTCTGTATAAAAATTTTTAATGTACATGCCATATGACTAGCAGAATTTTCTGTGGATGATACTAGTGGTTAAAGCCATTGCACCAACTGTTGTCCCGTAAAAAGCAGCAATTTGTTTTATGGAATTTCAACTGACTTTCAACAAGGCTTTCCTGTGATAAAGCACTGTCTCTTACTCTTATTATTGCTCAGAAAGGACTGTTTGGGGGTTCTTGGCTAATGTGTATCACCCATGGAGGTTGAATGCTGTGATGACACTGTGTCTAAAATAAAAATTTCTTTTAGGAATATTTCCGGCTGTTGGTTTGTCTGGGAATCACTGGCGTCCCTTATACAGCTAAACTGATAGAATCATTGAATTATTTAGATTGGAAGAGACCCTTAAGATAAGTCCAACCATAACTCTAACATTTTTTTACCAAGCTTACCACTAAAACATGTCACTAAGTGCCACATCTACACATCTGTTAAATATCTCCAGGGATGGTGACTGAACCACTTCCCTGGGTAGCCTGTTCAAGTGCTTAATGACTGCTCCAGTGAAGAAATTTTTTTCTAATGTGTGATCTATCTCTCCCCTGGAAAACCTTAAGGCTATTTTCTCTCATCTGATCACTCCTTACCTTGGAAAGGAGACAGACCCCCACCTGTTTACAACCTCTTTTCAGAGAGTTGTGGAGAGTGATAAGGTCTATCCTAAGCCTCCTTTCCTCCAGACTAAACAACCCCAGTTCCCTCAAGCTGCTTCTCATAAGACTTGTGCTCTAGACCCTTAACCAGCTTTGTTCCTCTTTGTACTTGCTCCAACACCTGTAATGGCTTTACAGAGATGGGCATTTGAAATGTGCTGGAATATTTAAGGACATAAAAAGAAAGATGAGGATTAGGATTTTTTAGGCATGTAGTTATGACCTCTGGGCTGCAAAGCTTTTAATAATCCATTGAAATCTGGCTGATCCACTGGATGTGATATGTCAAACTTTGTCCTTTGTATATATTGCTCTTTTACTAGTAAGCTGGGGGAAAATTTCCAAGGTTATCATAGGGTGATGGGATGACTTGAAATAGTTGTAATTCTGTTCCCTATCACCCTTCTCAGCAGAAGAGTTCGGAGTGGACACTGTTTATCTTGTCTTTACAGTTCTTTCATTTGTCTGGAGCTAAGATGCTCCTGTTCTACCCAGAAGCTCAGTTATTATAAAGCTGGTGGACCCATTTTGATTTTTCTTATGTTAAAGCAAGGCTTATTATGCTAATTAGAAGGATTTATTGGACACACAGGTGACTCTAATTATATTTTCCTTTCTTATGGAAAACTCTTATACTATATTTGGAGTGACTGCAGGAGGGACAAAACTGAAGATGCTGCTCTCAGTCCTAAACTACTAGCTTTTTGGTTTTTTTGTTGTCTTTGGAGAAGCAGTAGATAGCCAATTCTAACTTTCAGGTAGTGCTCACAGCCATTCTTGGTATAGCCCCAACCACAGAGGTTAGCAATGTGTCAGAATCAAGTGGTTTCACAGCTTCTGCAGAAGCAAGCTTTCTCTGGGAACTGCCCAAAGTGAAGTTTTACATGAACACAGTGGAGAGGGAGAGGTGTTTCAAATTCTCAAGATCTCCCTGAAGCATCAGTCTGATTTGACACTATCATAGAACAGTGATACCATGGATGAGAAGCAGAAATTTCTACTTATTATGCAGTATTTGTCGGAATATATTGAAAAAAATGTATAGACAAATTAGGTTGGACTGCACCTAACATGCAGATTACATAATTTAGAAAAAGTCTGGAAGCGACCTCAGGAGGTTACCTTCAAGTCTTTAAAAATACCACTGTTGTAGTAGATGACTGACTTGTTCTCAAGGGCCTTCCATCAGCTGGGTTCAGTGTCTACCAGAGGTGGACATTGTCAAGCCCTAGTATTGCAACCTGTGGCTTCTGAATAAAATCACTGTTGCTGGGAGAGTTGTGTGTGCTGTATCTAAGTCTTGTATACTCAAGCCCCTCAGAGCCACATAAAATTAAGCTCCTTTCTGAAAATCCAAAAGATCTTGCTAACAACCTGAACTCTTAACTTGAGTAACTTTCTTTGGGGCATTCATAATTGTAGTAGGGGTATATAATTTAACACGCTGCTTTCTGAAGAAATAAAGTGGAAAAGTGTGGTATGTAATTTATAAATGACCCTTTCCT